AGTTTTCCATTCATTTGTTCACTCATTTATCCATTGAGTAAATATTTAATGAGCCCCTACCAGGTACCAGGCAGTGGTCCAAGTGCTGGGGATACAGAGGTGAACAGAACAAAGTCTGTGCCCTCAATAAGCTTATGGCAGGGGGAAGAAACAAATATTAGAAGTAAACCCAGAGTGTGCCAGACAGGATAAGTGCTAAGGAGAAAAATTAAGCAGAGTAAAAGTCTTCTAGCCTATGAGAGGCAAAGAGGGAGATACTGCACATTTAGAGTGATCAAGGAGAACTCTAAGAAGAGGACATTTATCGATATCAGAATGAAACACGGGTGTAAGCCTTGGAGATGTCTGGATTAGATTATTCTAGGCATGGGGGAAGAGGAAGTGCAAAGACCCTGAGGCAGTCTAGTGCTTGGTGTGCTCAAGGAATAAGAAGGAGGCCAGTGTGGGTGGGAGACAGAGTAGCTTTGGAAGGTCAGAGAAATGGTAAGGTGCTAAGTCATGAAGCACCTTATAGGCCATTGTAAGGGTTTTGACTTTTACTGACATGAGAAATTGATAGGTGGTTTTAAGTAGACAAGCCACATGATCTGGCTTTGGTTTGAGGAGGATCCCTCAGGCTGCTGGATTGGGAATAGACTGTAGGAGGCAAAAGCTGATGTAGAGGTTGGGTTAGGAGGGTATTGCAAAATTCTGGGCAACAAGTGATAGCTGCTTAAACAAGTGGTTGTGGTAAAGGTGGTGTAAAGTTAACAGGTTCTGGAAATGTTTTCAAGATCAAGTAGGCAGGATTTTGCTGATGCATGGATGTAGGATGTGAGAGAAAGAGAAGAGCTTAACATAAGTCTAAGGTGTTTGACTTGAGAAACTAGATGAACGGAGCTGTCATTTACAAAGCTGGGGAAGACCACGGGAGAAGCAGGTTTGGGGAAAAATTAAGAGTTCATTTTTTTCTCTTTTTTGTGAGGAAGATTGGCCCTGAACGAACATCTGTGCCAATTTTCCTTTTTTTGCTTGAGGAAGATTGTCACTGAGCTAACATCTGTGCCAATCCTCCTTTATTTTGTGTGGGTCCCTGCCACAGCATGGCTTGACCAGCAATGCTAGGTCTGTGTCCAGGATCCGAACCTATGAACCCTGGGCCACCGAAGCAGAGTGCATGAACTTAGCCATTACGCCACCAGGCCAGCCCCAAGAGTTCATTTTTGATTATTCTGAGTTTGAAATGCCTTTTAGACAACTAAGGGAAGTCATTAATAGGCAGTTAAGTATATAAGTCTGGAATTCAGAGGAAAGGTCTGGGCAGAGAAATACATTCGGGAATCAGAAAAGTATAGATGGAATTCAAAGCTGTGAACGGGGTGATAATATCACCTAGGAAGTCACTGTCCATGGAGAGCACTGAGGGCACAGGCCCCTTTCATTGCCCGGTCCTCCCAGACAGAGTACTAAAGTGTAAAATGAAGTGGAAAAGAAAAGACCAGGGAATCCAGAAATAGTTTAAATCCTTTATTCATTCAGCAGGTATTTATGAGTATCGGCTCTTTGCTAGAGGTTCGGCTGGCCACTGGAAAAACAACATAGTAGGCCAAGCATGGGCAGTGCCTTCAAGTAGTTCACATCCTTCCAGACGAACACTCAAGGGCAGGAACAGATAAACCTCAGGACAGGGTGAACATCACTGAAGAGGAGTAGCCGCAAAGTCAACGATGTAAGTGTGGAACTGACTGCAAGGCCTGAGTAGGAAAGGAGCTGCTTTAATCTCTGTCTGCCTCCAACAAAGGCAAGCCAGGCCGCTGGGAACCCCTGGCAACAAGATAAGACACAAAGTAGAAGAGAAGAAAAAAGTAGGATGACAGGGAAGGGGGACAAAAAGGTAGAAACCAAAAGAGAAGGCATAGTGGCAATCTTACAGAAACTAGCTTATCCTTGGCCTATGTCTTAGTCAAATTTTAAATGTTCAGAGGCAAACATCCTATTTCAAAAGACAGGTTTCATTATGTCAAGCAGATTACAGTATTTCATCCTTAATGAAACAACAGTCTCATTAATCAGAGTGGCATGCAAATGAAACTGTCAATCACATTTCTTGATTCAACTACAGACGCTATATAACAATAGAGCAAATGTCCCAATGGGTTACATATTCTTTCTCAGGAGTGATATTGAAGTAACCTTCTAATACACTTGCAAGCGTGTGGTTGGAGGAGATTCAGGACCACTGAGGAAACTAGGAGCAGAGGGAAAAATGCTACTAGAATTTAAAAGTAAAGAAAAATAGGAGGAAGAAGAGAAGAAGAAATAAAATAGTTAACTATTTAATGAAGATAATTCAATAGTCACTCCTCGGGGGACGACCACATGAATGCTACAAAGAAACACGCAAGTTACAGTGTTTTGTTTCTGCACCACCCGGATTTACTTTTGATAGGTGGGTTATAAGGACTCGGATGGCTCCAGCGTGGTGTCTGGAACCTGGATGGCCAGGAATCTGATTTGGATGCTAACTAGAACACGTACCGTGAACCCTGGCATTGAATCCTAAGCATTCTTTTTTGTTTGTTTTTTTAGGAAGATTAGCCCTGAGCTAACATCTGCCACCAACCCTCCTCTTTTTGCTGAGGAAGACAGGCCCTGAGCTAACATCCATAGCCATCTTCCTCTGCTTTATATGTGGGATGCCTACCACAGCATGGCTTGCCAAGCGGTGCATAGGTTCACCTGGGATCCAAACCGGTGAATCCTGGGCCACCAAAGTGGAACGTGTGCACTTAACAGTCGAGCCATCAGGCCGGCCCCAATCCTAGGCATTCTTTTGATTTATTTGGAAAAAAGTACCACAGGTAAGTTGAGGAGTCATTTCAGTTCTGCTGCTTTTCTTGCCCTTTGACCATGAATGTGATGGTGCTGCAACATGGAGTAATTCATACTGAGGTCATGGTAATCAGTTTACACTGTAGGGTGTAAGATGAGTTGTGTGCGGGCAGGACATCCCCCCTTAATCATCTATGTATTGGGAACCCTAAGTCTCTGGCTGGAGGAAGAGTGGGAACATGACCTGACCAACTTTGATTTGTTAGGAGTCAAGAGTCCTGGGACGTGACTATCAGACAGATGGTTGGAATTCTGGAGCAGAAAATGGAAGCACCAGGATGAAGATGGTAGTGGTGAGTGGGAGAAGGAGTTCATTCATTCATTCAAAACGTATTTACTGAGCTCCTTTTACATACCAGGGACCTGCGGATAAATAATGAGCAAATTTCAACATGTTTCTCCCTTCAATGGAGTTTACAACCTAAAGTAGTGGACCGTAAGGTGGGGGGTTCAGGCACTCCATGGTTTGAGCAAGACAGTACAGTCAGGAAACAACCACAAGTGCAGAGTGGAAAACGCTACAATGGAAACCAAGATACACAGATTAACTAAGACCTGTCTGTCAAGGAGCATGTGGAAAGGCATCCTTTGGGGGATAGGAATAAAATATTATAACTTTATGTTTACTTTTACTTTAAAATAAGAACAAATTAATATTTAATGCACGACTTGAGAGTTATATAAATCCTTAATCAAAAATAAAAACAGATATTTTGGTAGTGTGGGCTTAAAACATTTTATTGACAGGTGAACACAAAGAAAACAATGGAGCGTGGTGTAAAACTTGAGATTTTTGGAGTATCAAGTTAAATTCGAAACTTTTAAAACCTGGAAAGACAGAACTTGGAGAGGGTGACAGAGAGCTGAACTAGCTCTGGTCTTGGGCTGCTGGCAGAAGAGTGAAGAATAAAGGAGATAACTTTGTCCCACTTACGCCTCTAGCGAATGCTTTTCACAGGCCCCTTGACAGAAAGTTCCCAGTTAATGTGTGTGTCTTGGTGTCCACTGTAGCATTTACCACTCTGCAATGGTAGTTGTTTCCTGACTGTATCATTTTACAGGGGGAGGTGGTCCTCGAAGGTTTTTATTCCTAACATCTAGCATAGTATCTGACAAACCGAAGGCATTCTGTTTGTGGAGTTGAATGGCAATTGACTTGTTACAAATCTCAATTATTTGTGTATGTTTAAATTACCTAATTTGCATATAATTTGTGCACCTGTATTCCTACTGCAGCGGCCCAATGCCTGGGACACAGCTGGCACATGATAAACATTACATTGTAAACATGTAAAACAATAAATTTGCGTACATTAAATGGTTGACTCGATGGAGTAGGAATACAGTAAGAAAGCATAAGGCCAAAGGACTTCCGGGCCTTGACAGGGAGAAAGAGTAGGATACTAGGGTGCTGAGGGCCTTAAATTATCCAAATATCAATGAAAAACAGCAAAGATCTTCTATTAGCGCCCTGAGCACACAGCACTTCGTGTTCAGTGCTTGAATCCGTCCAGCTGAAAATACCTCACTTACTCCATCACCCTTCCTCCTTTTACAAGCTTTTGGAATAATTTCTAGCGTAGAAATGGAGTTGGTAGTGACCTCTAAGGGAAAATCAGAACCCCTAAGAAAAATCACGGTAAATCTATCACAAGGGAGTTCAGCTGTCCCACGTTTCGAACGCTTTTTTGGGTTGTTGCCTGATCTTGTCCAACTGCAGGCCTTCGCTCCAGCGGTCCCCGTAGGCGTTTAACCCTTTCAGCTAAAACCAAGGGGAACTAGAACCCTTTCAGAACCGTAGAGGAGACCGTTACGAGAGTGCGCTTCTGCCGTCCCAGCGTGGCCACAGCGCCCTGCCACGCCTGGCACCGGGAGAGTCGGAGTTCAGGGCATCGGACCTTCATTGTCGCTATTGCGCAGGCTCTGCGTTCCACGCAGGCTTATTAGGAAGAAAGGGGATAAAATTGCCCAGACACACGTGAACCTGAGGGGACCAACCCCGGCCTCGGCTCCCCCACTGCATCGGATTCTGGAATTTACAATCACGAAAGTTCTATTGTCTCGCGATTGGCTCCGCGGCCGCATGACATCATAGCGCTTGATTCAGCCCTCGGGCCCCGATTGGCTGGCCGCGCCATTGTGACGTCACGGTCAGCCCACGTTCTGATTGTAGATACCCGGCGCCTTCCTCTTCCCATCGCCGCGGTGCCTCGCTGCCGGCGCCTCCCTCCAACATCCTTCCCCGCTCGGGCTGCCACGGGTGCTCCTGCTGCCGCCTCGCCGCTTCTCCGAGCTGCTGCTGCCGCCCGTGGGGCCAAGAGGTAAGCCGTTAGCTCTTGGAAACTTCTCCCGGGGCCGCTGCTCGGCCATGACACCCGGGCGAGTGCGCGGCCGGGACGTGAGGGCTGCGAACCGCCGTCAGCTCCCGAACCCGGGACCGCGGAATAGCTGCCGGCGCGGGCCGCGCTCCCCCCGAGTGGCGGAGGAGCCTGGCCGGCTCCGGGGGTCCCCAGTCCGGCCTCCTGGGCTCGGACCTCGGGCGCGAGGCTGGGCGCCTCGGGAGTTTCCAGCGTGATGCTGTCGCACCTGCTCGGCGCGTGGAAGTAGCGGGCTGGCCGTTTTGCACGCTGACAGCGCCGCGGGGACACACGCTGTGCCCAGACGAGGGGCAGGATGGATGGGCTTGTGCGCTCAAGTCCGCCCGCCCTGGCGGGATGAACTCGCGGATCGGAGGTCCAGGGCAGCTCCCGCTGAGAGGGAGAGCGCTCCTTCTTTGGGGAGAACAAAACCTGGGTGAGTTCGGAGAGCCTCTGCGGGGGCGCGGGTCGGGTGGGCACCGAGAGCCAGGGCGCGCCCGCCCTCGCCCCGCGGGGAGCTCCTGGAGCCAGCGATGCAGGGATCCTCCGACCTTTTCTTTTTTCTCTTCCTCCCTCCGTCTCTGCCTCCCGGCGGGAAGCTCTCTAGCCTGGGACCATTTCGGTTTTTATTAAAACCAGATAACCGCAGCCGCGGTCCTCGGGGATGGATGGGGCCGGTGGGAAAGCGCAGGGGCGGGGACTCGAGAGCGACCTGGGCGGCCCTTGGAGAGTCCGGGCGCCGGAGGGACGGGGGCGGCGCTGGAGCGGCTCAGGCCGGGGGAACCCCTGCGGTCGCGTCTGTAGCGAGTTGTAAGGAAAAGTGCCGTTGTACAGTTTCAACGTCAGCGACGCCCGTCCCCCCCCCCCCCGCCCCCCTTGCCCCCGCGTTGCTGCCGTCCCGCCCCGGGGTGGAGAGAGCCAGGACTGGAGCAAGAGTTGTTCTTTTAAACTGTCTCGCAACTGTTCCGTGCCCTTGTGTCTCAAGGGTGGTGGTTCCCCTCCTCCTGATTGCAGTTAAGCTCATCCCCCGGGTTGCTGATTGCAGATTTGCAGAATGCATTTGGCCAACTTTGGGCTTGGGGGTGGGTCCTGTATGGAAGAATCCAGTGCATGACTTATTAACTGGGCTGGGGAACCTAGGGGTGCTGGCGAGGGAATTGTGAGGATACGTCAGCCTTAATTCTTTAATAGCGGGACCCGTGGCAGGAAGTGCTTTATAGGATTGTCCTGAAGAGCTGATGTTGCTCGTTGGGTTTTGTAACTTGTGCCCCTAACCACTGGATAGATAACCTGTTGGTTTGCACTTGTTTTGCTTGCATATCTCAGCCAGCAGCATTGGTGCAGAATCTACAGAAACAGACAAGCCAGTTTTGCATTCGATGGCAGTCGACGACCACTTGAAATTTCCATCTGCGGTTAGGGGACAAGTGGATCCCTTTTTAGTCAGCTCAGACGCTGCCCGGGATTCCCCGAGAAAGCTCCGCGCTGGAAAGAGAAAAGTCACTCTTGGCCCTTTTAGAGTCATACTCCAGATTATAACTTATCATTGCCAGGAACTTTTTCTGTACTGTTTCTCTTTTTGCATTTTATTTTTTCTTCCGTTTCTAACTTAAGACAGAAGGGAAAATGTTATTGATGGTTACAGATGGCTGATTTAAAGAATATAGAACTTTGCTGAAAAGTGAAAGTAGAAAGCACGTTCAAATTTGATTCAGATTTTTCAAGAAAAGTAACTCATAACTTCAGACACTGTCCTCACCCCCTTGACTCAATTTCCCTGTCTGTAAATGGGGGTTTTGTGTTGCAGAATTGCTATAGGGATTTCAGGAGATAATAACAAATGAGAGAGCCCAGCATGGGGTATGCCAAATACTGGTTTGATCAGTGTTTCCTTCTTCCCTAATTTTTTTTCTTGGGGAAGGGGAAGTGAGGTTTAGTGGATGTGGCCAAGAACAAAGCTGTAGAATCTCAAATTACTGGGAAAGTATTCAAATAAAACTAGGTTTTCATAGCCTCGAATTCCAGTATCCCTATGAAGTCACTTTTGAAAATGAGGTAAGAGAAATGAGATTTTTTTTGTTTTGGTTAGAGACCTTAATTTTTGGATGTTTGATGTTTGCAAGGATCTTTTTTTTCAGTACCTCCTACCTTGTTCTATAATTATTGATTATCCTCCTGCTTCTAGAGGTGAGTATCAATCCTTGGGTGTCTTATTTCCAACATGAATTATACAAATCAAGGCAAAGCTGTTTACCTTCTGTTAGGGTAACTTGGATGCCTAAGTAGATGGTAGACTGTGAGTGATGGTTTTACTTCCTTGTTAGTTGGCCACATCCTTCCTCTCCCAAGAAATTTTGTCGTTATTTTGAATTCCTCCTCTGTGCCTACCAATTCTTCTGTGACTGATGGCATGATCTTTGCCTTATTACCCCATAAATAAGTCTTTCTTTGTCTGTGTTGTTTTAGGTATTATGGATGTGAGCACCTTCTTAGAACATCCCTGTAAGAGGTGTTATCCCTGACCCCTTTTTGTAAAGAATGGAGAACTAAGGCCTAAAGATGCCAAGTGACTTTTCCAAATTCACATAGCTCCGTCTCCTACGTCAAGCCTGTTCCTTGTCTGTCCTTGTACTGCTAGGATTTCTTCCGTGGGCCGTGTGCCATTTATGTAACTCTGTTACTCTGTAACTTAAAAATCTAACCTCGTGTCTAAAGGCCCATCTTCAAGCGATCTAAGATGACCGGCTTGTCATCTTTCAAATCTGCCTAAAATCTGTTCCCTTCTGTTAGCCCATACTTGATTCATTCTTTCTATTAATTCATTGCCTTGTCCGCTACTGAGTGTGTAGTGTGTGTGTGTGTTGGCGGGCAAGGTTGTCTATAAAGTGAAATGACACAGTTCCTGACTCCAAAGGGCATCTCAACTAGCTTACACTTTAATCCTTTTATACCCATGCTTAATCTACACTTTGGACCAAATGGGAGCCAGAAGCAGTTCTGGGGGCACTTGTCTCACTGTATCTAGAAAGCTGTGTGGCAGAGCTATCCGTGTGAGACATCTCAGTGCCAAGCACCGCCAAATTGGGTAGGATGCTTTCAGTGGGAGAGACAGAAAACCCAACTCAGATGGGTTTAAGTGATCACCTGACCCGAAGAGTCTTGAGGGCAGAGGGCAGAACTTTTGGTCTGCTTCTCTGAAGTCCTCTCAGATGTTGTGTCCATAGCCTCGTTTTGCAAGGTGACCGCCAGCGACAGTCCAGGTGCGCAACCTGTCCCCCCGCCCATTACCGTGTTCTCATGTGGGAACTTCCCTTCCCACCGCCTTACAAAGAGGGTCCCTGGCCTTGAGCTGATAGACTTAGGCCTTGGTTCTTGAGGTAGTAACTAAAACAGTGGAAATCTGATAACCTGGGGCCCATCCCAGAACTGATGAGGTATTGGAGGAGGCCAGGGCAGTGATGAGGCCCCACCTGGAGCCACAGCCATAAGCACAGACCGAAGAGAGCTAATTGTACGCGCTTGTTCCTGGGATAAGATCTGTGGGACGTGGAGACCAGTTGGATTTCGAGGCTGAGAAGAGGAACGGTGCTCTTAACACACTGCGAGGTAGAGGAAGCATGGTATTCTAAAGGAGAAAGAGGAAGGGTTGTAATCAGGTGGGGATATCCTAAGGGCCCAGGCACATCTCCAGACAAGCCATTTCTTCCCCACCAGTCCTAACTCCTCTGCACAGGCTCTGTCGGCCACTTTTTTTTATTGCCCTTCTGCGAGTTTGTGTTTCCACCACATTTCATCCACTTTCAGAGACAGTTTTTCATATTTTAACATAGCTCGGTAGAGTTGCAGCTTATAATCAGTGGCATCTGAGAATCACGGCAAGCACTTGTCCGCATTTTAAGATGTCTGAGGGGACTGGCCCCGTGGCTGAGCAGTTAAGTTCGAATGCTCTGCTTCGGCGGCCCAGGGTTTTGGCAGTTCGGATCCTGGGCGTGGACAAGGCACCATTCATCAGGCCATGCTGGGGCGACGTGCCACATGCCACAACTAGAAGGACCCACAACTAAAAATACACAACTGTGTACCAGGGGGCGTTGGGGAGAAAAAGGAAAAATAAAATCTTAAAAAAAGTCTGAAATCGGGATGCTTCCCACCTTTTAATGAAGTATCAGTGAGAAAAGGAAACTCCCAGTCTTGCTAAAGCTCCTGCGGCCAGTTGCTGGCAGAGCCAGGGGGTGAACACCATGGCTCCTGGGCTCCCTCAGTCAGCTGGGTTACCTCACCTCACATGCTAGGTATTAAAGTAAATGTTGCCTCCTGGTAAAGGATTATGGTAAAGCATGTGCATGTTTCTTTGTTTGTTACAAGTGAACTAATTTGAAATGGTTGGAAGGCAAAGTTGTTCAAGTCGGGTGCCTCATCCTTGGATAGAACCTGGCTGCCATGGTTTCTTGTTCTAACTTGCCACTGGCCATAGGAAAATCGACTCTGGGCGTTGGTCTCTTCTTTAAAAATGAAAGATGAAACTCTGGTGGTTTCCAGGCCCCTTTCAGAACCACTGTTTTTCATTTTCACTTTTGCTAAGAGCAAATCCTTGGTTTCTGTTTGGCCAGGCATAGCGAATGAAAGGTGAGAGCATTGAGGTCTTAGAAAGGTATGTGTCCGAGTCAGTGATGGAGGGGGCCGGCCCTGGAGAGAAGGGGCTAAGTTCGCGAGCTCCGCTTGGATGGCCCAGGGTTTCACTGGTTTGGATCCTGGGTGTGGACACGGCACCGCTCGTGAGGCCACGCTGAGGTGGCGTCCCACATGCCACAATTAGAAGGACCCACAACTAAAATATACAACTATGGGGCCGGCCGGTGGCGCAGGGGTTAAGTGCGCACGTTCCCTTCAGTGTCTCTGGGTTCGCGGGTTCGGATCCTGGGTTCGGACATGGCACCGCTTGGCACGCCATGCTGTGGCAGGCG